AAGAATGAAATACACTTTAAAACAAATCCCTGACGCAAAAGCCTTTATACCTTTAACAGATTATTAGGGTAGTAAAACCACCAGGGGAAGTGTTAGGAGATGTGTGAAGTGATTTATTTTTCCTTGAACATGCGAAGCGTAGTATTTGTTATCATAATTGTTTTATTATAATCATTTTTTTGTCATGTATTTATATTATTTTATTTTGTGTTGTTATTCATTTTTATGTATTTATTTCAATTTTTTATTTATATTATCATTATTGTTTTTATTATTATTTATTTAAGTATTATTAATATTTTATCAATTTTAATCATTTATGGGCGTCGCCCGGAGTTAATAAATATATTCTTTGATGTTGTTTGTTTAGACTTTCTGAATTTTTTTTTTCAATTTGATTGAATTCAATTTAATTATTATTACGAATATTATTAAGGAATAATGCAATGTTTCCCAGCCTCCTTAGGCTTTTCAATCACAATCATTCAACAGGAATATATACAATATTGATACAAATTGATTACATGAAAATATGATTGTATGTTAATTGTTTAGTTATTCTAAGGCTTGCTTTACTTGGAAACTCGAAAGATCACACTGTTGGAATATATCTGCCTGTTTTACACCCTTTGACCAACAGGGGGGTTTGTGCTCAAATTAAGCCTCATGAGACATGAGATGATGAACCCTTTTGCGAACCAATTGGCTGGAAAGCTTTAAAGCTTCATAAGGCTTCATCTCGCCAGCACTCATTTTAATTAAGACACTTAGTCCTGAAAGTGATGACACATTGTTAGCTCTCCAGCCAGAAGTTTTACATTTCCGATAGCTTTAAACGTTACCAAAAGTCCGGATATGACATCATGACCACAGGAACCAAACTTTAGCTCGTAACGGTATCTGTAGCATAACAGCTAACTTATCAGTATTCAAAACAAAAGCTCTCGTAAGCACAATATCTTCGTTCAACACCTATTTGGACGTTAATATGGAGCTGTAGGCAGGACTTATAAATAAAGGTAATAATCTTGAATTGGGTTTTATTTTGCATTTGTGAAAAGGATATATTTGGGGTACCGCTAACGTTATTATACAACATGTTGTTCGTAGCGAGCAGCAACTAAACAATACAGTTACCTTTTTTAGATGTGTTATTTTACACAACCTGTACTTAACTACATGCGATAGTAGCTCGTACTATATTTAACGTTTAGCAAACTAGCGTTACATTTGATGGAAGCTGCTGAGTAGAGTTAATGAATTGTCATATTTTTCAATGAAATCCTAATAAATGGGACAGGAACAGTTTGAAACTGTATATTATCTAAATGTTTGCATCATTGGAGGTTGAGTAAAGTGACTTTCTGTCAAATAAAATAAATAAGTAGGGCATTTTGAAGACTTGAAAACGTTGCCACCCCTATCCACTTTGTAATGGATATAAAATCTGACATAACACTGTAACCATGACAACCTATCTCTTCCCTTTCAGTGTTGAGGAATGGTCTGACTGCAGCAGAACCAGTAAAGATGCACAGCCGTCTGCAGGAGTTGAAGAAGGAAGAGGAGACACTCCTCAAAATCAAAGTCATGCTCCAAGACCAACTGAACAGGCTGAAGGTGAGTGAGAGAGTCCACAATGAGTGTAGAGGTTTGTGCTTGTGTTTGTGGTAAATCTGATTTATATTTTATGTGTTTGCTCTGTGTTTCAGTTCGAAGAGGGGGCTTTAAAATCTATCATTAGTGCACAAACAGAAGAAGGAGCCTCTGAACGATCTTCCCCAGAAGCTGAGGTAATCCCTGTCACATCAGGCACAACCCTGCTAAATGTGCACAGGTCACAATCATATTTTTGCCTGTGTTTTCTGATAATTTCACACTTCAGTTGTTTTATTGAAAATGAAGATAACTTATGTTTTACTACACAACACTACTGTAAGCTTGGGGTGTTACAGTTTGCAGGCCTGCATAACCTCTCCGATTTAAATCCACACATAAACCATGTTACTTCGAGTAATAATGTTAAGACAGGAAATTGGCTAACTTGTTTATGTGAGTTGCCGTAATCTGATTACTTTATCACCTAAATTTACATCAGAACGACTAAGTTATACATAGCCATGTAATCCTATTTGGCTAACAGAAATGTTGCTGAGTTTATTGGGTTGATTAAAATGCCTTCAATTGTGACGAATAATCAGATTATTATGTTTCACGCAAAGGCTATAACATTTTAGGACTGTTTTTGTTTTTATGATTTAATTTAATTTATAAACATAATGTATGTACCCTTTTTAAGAAACTTGTAATATAATATTGGGAGGGAGGAAACCCTCTTTAATGGTCACACATGCAGAGCACACAGCAAACACAGTGACATGTGTTCTCTGCATTTAACCCATCCTATTACCAGGAGTCTAGTACTAGGAGCAGTGGGCAGCTATTGTACAGTGCCCGGGGAGCAATGGGAGTGGGGGGGGGGAGGGGGTTGTCCGGTGCCTTGCTCAAGGGCACCACGGCAGGGCAGGAGGTGAACTGGGACCTCTCCAAGTAGCAGTCCACACTCCATTTTTAGGTCTGGTCGGGGACTTGAACCGGCGACCCTACGGCTCACAGTCCAAGCCCCTACTGACTGAGCCACTGCCAATGTACATATTGAATTACTGGATAATACACTGAGACCGTTATTAATGGTTTTATAGGCCTTGTCTAGACAATCGATGATTAAAACAGTAAATATGAAATGCCTCTATACTACTCGTGCACTGTACACTAGTATTTCATTACACTTTTTGATTTCATTTCATCCGTCAGCTTAACATTTTTTTTCTTCTAGTCATTACTTTTAAGGCACATGAAGCTATACCTACAAAGAATCATTGGGCAAAAGAAGTCTCTAAACTGCTCTAGCTAGTTATGCATTCTCACTTTGACTTTGTTTCAGGTTCATATTAACCTCGATGATGAGGGCGAGATCAATCAAACCAAACTGCTACTGAATGCCGCTATAGATTTTGATATGGAGGAGGAGGACGATGAGGAGGAAGATGAAGAGGATGACGAAGAAGATGACATTGAGATTGGGTCTGGCCCTGATGACGATGACGAGGATGATGATTACTGAGATTCTCAGTGTCTCATGGAGCTTAACTATTTGCACCACTGAAGAAGAACCACATGTTAACAGACATATGTTCATTTGTTCACCTGTTTATCACTTATACAGTTTAATTTATTTGAATGGAGTGAGTAACAGTTACAGTGTAATGATGAGTGGTGCTAACAGTACCCTCCTTGGTCTGGTTTAAGGCACAACAAACCACATAAGAATTTATTTGTCAAATGTTGTGAAAAAGGTCTATCTGAAATGCAGTAAGACAGTGTTATTAGCTGCTTATAGCTTACTAGACATATTGTGCATTTTGAGGATTAGCATTAAAATGTGTGGCTGGGCCATATAAGAAGATAGTACATATACATTATGCAAGAAATGATAATTGTAAGCACAAAATAAAATGTTTTGCATACGTTTCATCTGACTGATTTTTACTATAACACACTTCTAGTTATACACAAGCATTCTTCGCATCATACAGTATCGTTTTTCTAAGTTGCCATGCATACATATGGGCAATAAGCAGATTCATGTTATTTTCAATTTAGGTTATACCTATTTAATTGTCCTAACCTGATCCAGGCGAATGGGTTATGCAGTGCAAACACTTTCCTCTAGCAAACCATTCAGCATTTTCTAAACAGCTAAAACAATACGGCGAGCCTCACAATAAGGCCAGCTTTGACACTGACAGCACGGACAGCTCTGGAGAAGGGTGGTGCTACAACAGGAACATACAATAGAGAACGCAGCGATAGATATATACAGCTTTCTACGTGGGCGGCTGTTCCAGGAGAGCTCCCATTCACACAGGTACACACCTGCTGCAAATGAACTCTTCTTAAAGTACGCAGGTAATTAGACATAATTCATATGCTGTGAATCAGATTGGAGTGATGGTTGATGGATTTATGATTGATTTAGCTAGTGATTTAAAATAAATGACTAAAAATACTATTCATATTTGTTATATAAAAAATAATACCTACACAAAAATGTTTTAGTGAGAAATAATCTGAGAAAACTAAGGTAAAATGTGTGTTTTTCAATGAGTGTTCATAATTCCATGAGCTTTAGATTCTTAAAATGATGATTTTAAATGACAAATTGTATCATACAGCAATGCGTCAATTCTGCATTATATGATGAAGCTATCATTAAATTGATTGCCGACTTATAAGACGAAAGTATTGTGATATGATGCTCATTATTTATTATTTATTTAATGTAAGATAATTGGGTTTGTTTAGTTGTGAGGACTTTACATTGACATTAATAATAATAATAATAATTTCAATTTTTATAGCGCCTTTCAAGAGACCCAAGGACATTAAAATTGACAATGTGACAAATAGCATTAAATATTTTACTATTGTCTAATGGTGAGGTTAATGCATTTCCCAAATTCACATATGGTCTATATGTGGGCAAAGGTTGGTCCAATGTCATGTGATTGTGCACTGTAAATATATCCCCCCCGCTAACATTAACTTTGCTTACAGAGGGGAAAACCATAGTTTGTATGGGATCTGTCTACCTCAGCACGATGAGCTCACACTCCATTGAGTTTGAAAGGGGCTATTTGGGGATGCGGGACCCCCCATAGTCTATCAGATTGTATGCTTTTAGAGACAGTTTGATGGTAGTTAATTGAGATTATATCAAGATTTTTTTCTGTTACTAGTTCAACTTTTATCAACATTTTTGAAAAGAGGGGCATAAGCATGTGTGTACAGTATATGTGTTTTGATGAAATTACATGTTTGCTACCTGACTTGTAATAGTGATTCAGAGGTGATGCTAAATGATTCTCTTTTGTGTGCAGACGTAAGTGAGGGACTGGAGCAGAACCAGACAGTGACTGTGCTGCAGGCTCAGGAGTACCATGCTGCCCCGCTGTGCGATCAGTGTGTGTCATGTGTTTGTGCTGGTGCTGTGTCTGTCTTCGGCTGAGGACTTCGACTGGACAAAGAACGACCACGGCTCCTTCTATTATGGCACTTTTCCAGCTGGTAAACACAACCTTTTTCTCCAGTAGGATGGAGTTAGTGCATTATAATGAACTAATAAGTGGTGATATTATACCTCCTAAGAGCTGTTCATATTACCTCCTAACTGTTCATATGTGCTTAATAGGATTTTCGTGGGGTGCCGGCGGTTCAGCCTATCAAACAGAAGGAGCCTGGGACAAAGATGGTAAAGGATTGAGCATCTGGGACGTGTTCAGTCATAAGAAAGGCAGAATCCAACAAAATGACACCGGGGACTCATCTTGTGAGGGCTACCACAAAATCAAGGTGGGATTATCAAAGAGATATGGAGAGAACAGAGGGGGGGAAAGGAAATCTAAATATTTCACTCCGTGTGTGTTGTTCAGGATGATGTTGGTCTGATGAAGGAGCTGAAGCTTAACCACTATCGCTTCTCCATATCCTGGCCTCGACTCATCCCCACTGGCATAAAGTGTGAGTCACTTGCTGTTAATTCAAGTATTTCTGAACTGAACCGGCACATATTATTTCCTGTGTCAAATATAAAAAACTCAAAGATTACATAACATTTTATTATTTGCAGCTGACCATATAAATGAAAAAGGAATACAGTACTATAACGAGCTGATTGACCACCTGCTGGAGAACAAGATCACTCCCATTGTAACTCTGTATCACTGGGATCTGCCACAGGTTGGTATCCAAGACGTTCATAAACCTTCAATCATCTTGCATCACAGCACAATTCTTCTTTACTGAGTTACTGCACTCTTTTTGTCCTATAGTTCTTACAAGAGAGATATGGTGGATGGCAGAATATAAGCATGGTCAATCATTTCAATGAATTTGCCAACCTGTGCTTCGAAAGATTTGGAAACAGAATCAAGTACTGGATGACTTTCAACAATCCATGGGTAGGTTCAATATAAAGGATTTGCAGGTGTATCATTGACACCTGCCTCACATGTTCTTTTTGACATAGTATAGCTTTGATTAGTTTATTACCTTTGAATTGAACTACTGTTGTTCTCAGACTAATAATCTGCTAACATTTTTCATTTAGTCTGTAGCAGTGGAAGGCTATGAGACCGGTGAGCACGCTCCTGGTCTGAGGCTGAGAGGAACAGGCGCATACAAAGCTGCACATCACATAATCAAGGTAGGAGAATTCATGAATATTCACTTATCAATAACACTTAGCAATGCATGTGCCACTTGAAATGTAAATCATGTCTAAAATAATCATCCCTTTTTCATATAGGCACATGCTAAAGTTTGGCACACTTATGATACACAGTGGAGGGCAAAACAAAAAGGTAAACAGGGTCAAACTCAAGTTCATTATTTGCCTCTCAACAGTACTTTCTGTCTGAGTGTTGAGTGCTGCTGTTTGCATGTGCAGGTCTGGTGGGCATCTCTCTGTCTGGAGATTGGGGGGAGCCGGTGGATATCACCAACCAGAAAGACATCGAAGCAGCTGAGAGATACGTCCAGTTCTACCTGGGCTGGTTTGCCACACCCATCTTTCATGGAGACTACCCTCAAGTGATGAAAGACTTTATTGGTAGGTTCAATATTTAACATCTTGAATCCGGGTGTTATATTGGTGATTTGGGAATGAACTTACTAGTACTTGTTTGCACTGGTGGAATAAGTGTTCAGATCCTTTACTTCATTAAAAGTTGCAATATCAGTTGGTCAAAGTACTTGAAAACAAGTTGCATTTAAAATACAAGTATAAATACAAGTAACAGAAAATACACTTTTGTGTGTATTACTATATTGTATTTTTATTATTCATTCATTTTATTATAACTGATTCATTCATGTTGTAAAAAATTCACAATAATCAGTCTAGGTGGAACTGATTTGAACTATTTTGTATGCTGTTGCGTTTTTTCATATATTTAATGAACAAAACACATAAACATAATGCATTGTCGTCATGTTTTATGAAATAATCAATTGTGGTGAAGTTAAAATCGTAGTCTGCAAATTAACTAGTATCTTAGGTCAGATGAATGTAGTAGAGTACAAATTGTCATACTTACTTCTGAAATGTAGTGGAGTAAGAGGAAAACATTGTATACAAATGGAAATACTCAGGTAAATTGCAAGATCCTCAAATGTATACTTGAGTAAATATACTCAATTACATCCCACCGCTGCTTGTGTGTGCAGGTAGGAAGAGTGTCCAGCAGGGCCTCGGGACGTCCCGTCTGCCCAGTTTTTCCCCTCAGGAGAAGAGCTACATCAAGGGGACGTGTGACTTCCTGGGCGTCGGTCACTTCACCACCCGCTACATCACCCAGAAGAACCACCCCTCAGCTCGTAGCAGCAGCAGCTACTTCACTGACCGGGACCTGGCGGAGCTGGTGGACCCCCGCTGGCCGGACCCCGGCTCTGAGTGGCTCTACTCCGTGCCTTGGGGTTTCAGACGTCTGCTCAACTTTGTCAAGGTGAATTATGGTCTTTACATTTGAATGATGCAGAACAGGCTTATTGACAGTTGTGCAGAAGCTGAAATGATCTTGTAGGCCTAAGCCTTTCATTACAAAAAGCAACTTATTGCATATTGACTTGTTCCCTATGTAGTCTCAGTATGGAAACCCAATGATTTATGTGACTGAGAATGGAGTCTCTGAAAAGATGCTTTGCACAGAGCTGTGTGACGACTGGAGGATACAGTACTTCAAAGACTACACCAATGAAATGCTGAAAGGTAAATTAGCTTATAATATAAGCACCTGCAAATCTTTGTTGTTTGGTAATTTGGAGCATATTTATTTAAAGCTCAATCCCATTTTTGTGGTCAACTCACTCTCACTCAGCTATCAAAGATGGAGTCAATGTGAAGGGCTACACCGCATGGTCCCTGCTGGACAAGTTCGAGTGGGATGAAGGCTACTCCGAGAGGTTTGGCTTGTACTATGTGGACTTCAGGAACAAAAACAAGCCTCGTTATCCCAAAGCTTCTGTCCAGTTTTACAAACGCATCATCAGCTCCAATGGATTTCCCAATCAGAGAGAGGTAAGAGACTTAATGAGTCCTGCCTCCATTCCTTTCATGACAAAACTTTTAAAGATATTCCACCAAAATGAATTGGATAATGCTCTAATGTGCCACAAAATAAATGTCAGTTATTTTATGAAATTGCATTGTATTTTATGAAATTGCATTGTGAACCTCCAGGTTGAAAACTGGAGGAGGAAGGCAGTGGAGACGTGTTCCACCAGTAACCAGCTCCTCGCTGCAGGTCAGTGTGTCTTACAGGTGAACTAGCTGGGGTAAACAAATAAAGATTCTGACTTAAATATCAAACAACTGGCCAATAGTATAGAAAAAAAGGGTAAATAATATCAATTATTCATTATAATCTGACTTGAATATGTGTTGCTGCCCCTCAGAAAACACATGGACAAATTATAAGATGAATAAGAATGGAAGTATAAGCCAAAGTTAAACAATTCTCTAACAGAATATCTGAGATATCTTTTTTGTTTGCCCCTCCAGCTAGAAGAAAATCCAAGGAACATGCAGAACTGCCAAAGGTTTGGCCAGTGCATGATGAAGTTTAGATCTTGAGGGTATATGTTTTTTTATATTATTTAATATCAGTTTTAGTGTTGTTGCTTTGTGATTGTGTTGTTCTCAAATTAACTAACATAATTGCAGTTTAACGCTTAAACATGCCTCTGAAATAAGCATGTACTCTGTGTGTACTATGTGCAACTACGTCTTCATATATTCAAACTTGTATTAGTGTGCTTGAATCTCATTTGCAACCATGAGCAGCCCTTTAGATTTCACAGCAGCTTTGACAAAAACTCTGCTTATCTGTGGATTTGTGCCCACGGGGTAATTCACAAAGCAGGATTATAAATTCACTAAAACAACATAATACCAGTTAAACTGTCTCATACATTGGAAGTTGATTTATAAAACCAAACTCAAAAGTGATAACACGATTTAGCAATGCCAGCTGATGACTGGTATTTATAAGTTACATTTCAGGGGATTTGATTCTTTCACAATAAACTGGCAATGTTACAAATTCTGCTTTCTGAAATATTCCCCATAATCTGCATGCAGTTCTCAAAGGGTTAAAGTGTTGTCAATCAACTCTGAGTACTTTCTCTTTCTTTATTAGAGGAACAGCGGAGTACTGCTGCCAATATTCTAAGACTAATACATGGTAAGGAATCACTTGTGCTCTCAGAAAAAAGATGATTTGATTTAGGAGGAAAATATTAACCCTTTGAGTGCTGTGCTGGAGCTTTATCCCCCGCTTCATAAGCAATGTCTGAACTATAGTCAACATTCTACTGAGTTGTTAATGTGTGTGTATGTGTGTGTGCTTTGCAGACCCTTTGACCAGCCACATGGAGATGGTAACTGAGATCGTGGTTCCCACTGTGTGCACTCTCTCCATTTTGCTCAGTGCCGTCTTCCTCATGTTCCTGCTGCGGAGGCGCAACTAAAAAATGTTTACAATCAAAAAACATCAATACACATGCTTTAAGTGCATCTTTTCTTTAATTGATTATGTGTGAACATAAATACATTATTTGAGATGAATTTGAAGCGAATATGTGACTTCATTAAAGTACTTTGATGTGCATACAATGTTTGCTAAAACAACTGATTGACTATTGAGCCTTTCATAATGAATGTAGTACTGGGTTAGGGTTAGTGTGATAAGCCCTGCTGCATTTTGGGATTTTCTTACAATATTGCTGTGGAATATTACCATTGCAAACAGCCCTTGTGTTATATTGTACTTTGTGGTTTGAGTTGTTCAGCTATCATCTCTTTCAACCGCTTTATTGATCATTCAAAAAAATCTGTGAATGTGATAATAAAACTGCAATAAGAAAACCACACATAATCACATCATCAAAAAAACTTATATTTATTTTTTCAAAACAATTGACAATAATACAGTATATTAATAAAAACATACACTTTGTGATGTGGTATAAGGTATTCTGGAAAGTTCAAATGGCAAATTTAAAACATGTTAATTGCTGAGGAGAAAATAGATAATGACAATAAACGCCTCTTTGTCGTTAAGTTGTGCTCTGTGTGTAAACTCATGCAAAGTTGACGAGACTGCAGCAAACCATGGTGGTGAAGAAGGCCGGATCCTCACTGTCCACATTCACTGTTTCATTTGGATCTAAATACAGAACAGAAAAGGAATATTAATGTTATCGGTACTTTATTAGGATAATTATGAGTTAATATGTTGCATGAACTATATTTTGGAGTGGTGAGGATCACCTGCTTCAAAGACGACATGATCCACCAGCGGTCTGTCACTCAGCTGTACGGAGGTCCGGACCTCACGGGAGCCGTGGCCACTGGACACCTCGGCCCTCCACAGCACTGGGTTCTCTCTGTGGAACACACACACACGAGGGATCAGAAAATAGTCCCTGCTAAACCTATACAGTTGACACTAAAGCGCATGTTGGGAGATCTCATCAAAAAACCTTGGATACAGAGGGTTAGAATTGGTTACATTTCAGACACTACAGCTATATTTGAAGATCGGTACGCACTTGGGAGCACATTACAAAATTGTGTGGAAGCAATTGTGTTAAAAATAAAAACAACAACAAATATTAGTGGACTTACTTCTTACAAATGACTTCAAATCCTTTTTTTTTTTTTACTTCATACATGATGCAAATTACAAATGGACCCTGCTACCTTTTTTCTAAGGCTGTAAGATATGGCCAAAATATTTCATCACAATATAGATAATTTCCTATCTCAATATAGACTTATATATAAATCTATAGTATGACTTCTGGTAAGTCAATAAGTTATATGAAACATGATGAAAAATTAACTACTAAATTAATAACTGACATATAAAGGTATTGAGTTTCTTGTCATTATTTCAAATGTTCTCATAATTACCAACTTAAGTGAAAATGTACCTATTTTTTTCCAAGTGAAAATAATGAGGGAAAATAAACACTTTCATTCATTGAACAATCTTCAAATGATATTGCCTTAAAGTATTACACATCAGATTTTCTGAGAAACCTGAGTTAGTATGTGCTTGCTATTTAAAACTTAAATGTTATTTATTATCACCCAGCCCTACTTAATTTCTGTTTATATTGTTTGGCCGTGCAAAGGGCTACATTCCTTACTTCTGGTAGAAATGGCTGATCAGCGCAGGTTTGATTTGCAGTTTGAATTCATGCTCCTCATCATATGGGTATGTTTTGTAGTGCTGCAGACATGATCTGTGGGGGAAAAAAATGTTTCACCTTTAATCTAATCTTTAGCAGAATACATTTAGCACACTCAAAAAATCAGCGGAAGAAGACAAATTGATTTACTGTGTGAGAAGGAAAAGTCTGTCGTAGGGCAGACCCAGGAAAGTACCGCAGGTCATGATTACTTCCAGCAGGTGGTGCAGTTTCCGGAGTCTGATCACTTGCTCCTGGGGGTCAACCTCAGTGCTCAGGAAATAACACTAAGGAGTAAAATATTCAAACTTAGAATACTTTGGTGACAGTCAATTAAAAAAGGTTGTCAGTAAAATAGTCTTAGGCTTACCAAGTGGTTGAGGGTTGTCAATTCTTCACCTGAGAAAAAAAGTAGAAAATAGAAGAATATCAAAGCAAAGTGTGTTTAATTTAAAGTTTCCTGACTGTATGACTCATGCACTGAGGCTCAGTATGACTGTTACACTCTGAATGACATGCATTTATACAGATAAGTAAGAGGTTACCAATGAGGTAGTTAATGTAATCCTTTCTCATCTTGTCCAGTCCCATCTCCAGCAGCATGTGGACAGGGGTGACACCTGTGAGAGACACGTGGTCGATCTGCTGGTGGTACGACTGCAGGATGAGCTTACTGAGAGAGCTGCTGCTGTCTCTGTGGATCTGAAAGAAATTCAACAAAACAGAAAAAAACTTCACACACAACCGTCAATCTCTTCTCACTGATAAACAGTTGTCTGATTCTGCATCATATCATACCCAGGGTTTGATGTAACCGTATCTTAGAGCTTCTGTGACCAATTTCAGGCAGTCTCCAATATCTTGATATGAAGTCACACCTGTGATGAAAAACAAAATGGGGGAAATGGTTAGAACTGCTGCTTTGTAATGATAGATCAAGTGATATTTAGTTTCCTTATTGACAAACTGACTCACTCTTTCTCATCCGAACCCACAGCTGCTCCACGAAATCCAAATCGCCTCGTTCCAAGAAAGAGTTGAAAATGGGAGTGTCCATGTCTGTCGACGGCTTTGAGTTCTTTTAAAAAATATGGAAAAGCAAGAAAGTTATCTTATTTATCCTGAAATTAATGAACTTGTCAAATGAAAAAGTCCTTTGAGTTCTTGATATTGACACTAACTTACCTCAGCTGTTTTTGCAGCATCTTCCTGTAGTGTCTTTGCAGTGCCCTGAAGCTCTGGGTGAATAATAAAACAAAGACAGTCTTAACCTACTGTTGTCATGAAATCCTGATAAAGGTGCCTCGATTGAACAAAACAGATACCTTCTAGGAACGCCTTGGTCAGGTTTACAGCTGATGTGCTTTCCAAAGGCTCAATCCATTCAGTCTCACCAGTTCTTAAACCATCTGCAAGAGACTGCAATAACAGAAATCTTAAATATTTAGTTGTCTATTTACATATTGATACTCACGGTCGTTCACCTCAGATTAATGTGGGACACAAACCTGAAGAAACTCTAGCTCCCTGTACATCTCGTACATCGGGCTCCTCATGTCCCCAATGGCAACTCTGATATTCTGCATGTGAACAAAGATAAACAAGGCAAGTACACATCATGTATCACTTTATCCTATATTTGAAATGGGAATACTAAAATAAAATTTAGACATATAAAAAGTAAGCATTCATGTTAAAGGAAGATAATGTTTTAAATGTGAATTACTGGTGCTTACCAGTGTTGCTGTAGAGGACAGGGGAGGGGTCTCCAGGACACTCTCCACATGGCTCCATTTGAAATCCACCGTCACACTGTTCTGTGACTCAACCGTGGTGTTTTCAACAACAGTGGAGCCAAACAAGCTGAACCTGGCACTGCCTTTAATCGCTGTCTGTAAGCATCAACAGATGAAAGTGAATGAACATTAATTCACACTGAATTACAAGAAAGGATGCTCATACCGAGGATGGGGGGTGCCTTTTCTTGTGCTCCTGTTTAAGCACGTCCAGGGTTATGAGAGCTTTTTTGTCCACAGTAGAGCCTAACAAAAATGAAGTCGGATTAGCACAATTGCCAAAGTTAATGAAAAACAAATATTCACTTATCTGATAAATAAGCATTTGAGTTATACCCTTGCAGGTAATGGAATACAATTTGACAGCAGACACTTTATTGCCCGTGCAGACGGTTTCAGCTCCGACCCAGGCTGTTCTAGCCGGATCCGACATGTCACATCGCACCCACAGCGGGTGTAAGACAGGGTTGTTGTCCACAGCTGATACATTAGCATTTTGAGATAATGTATACCAAGACAGCAACTGCCTAAAAAGAAAAAATACATTTTGTTTGTCATCAACAGTGTGTTTGATACATGGGTTATACAAACCCACTAGATCTGTGTCATTTAGATGAAGTTTTCTTAGAATCGGTCACCTTGCTTTCATTATTGTGAGCGGCTGTGGTCCCAATTCTGGGAGAGAATTGGCATCGTCCTCATCATCTTCATCATCATCATCTTCATTAGCAGTATCTTCATTAGCAGTATCTTCATTAGCAGTATCTTCATTAGCGCAGTTAGATGTTTTAGTCATTGGTTGATCATCGGGTTCATATATTTTTGGAACCTTTTGAAATCACAAAAATAGAACATCACACAAACATGATCCAATGGTTAACAATAGGAAGGTCTTATCATACAATTGTATATACAAAAATGATATCTGCAGGTATCTGGAGTAATATCCCTTGATTTAACAATGATGCAGGATTGTATTACACAATACAATTATCGCCATTAATATATTGTTTTAAAGTTATTTTTATATATATTCTTTATATTACACACCGATACTTGTCTAGGATTTGCAGACACCCATTAACATCTCTTAATAACATTAAGAATACTCACAGGTTTTTCACAAATGAAGACAGGCTGGTTTCCACAGTATATATTCAGCACAGGGATTTTGTTTCCATTCATCTTTAAGATTTGAGTGTCCTCCTGAAATCAATCAGATACTTTATCAACATCATTAATAGATACATACACGACAGATTTTTATTAAGGGATAATGAAATACCTCATAGATACATGGATTGTTGCTTTCCTGATCTTGGAGAGACCTTCAAACAAACGAAAAAAACACACCTTACGACAAGATTGGTAGTTAATGGAATTTAAGCAATTCAATATTATTCTACATAAAGGGTGACAGTTCATTCACTGCCTAGCACTCATCTGACGTTAGCTTAAAAAGGCTAAACAAGCAACATTGGTAACGTTGAGCACCCAAAAGTAGACTCACCGAAGAGTATTGTAAAACTCCTTTGCACTGGAGATCACCCTTGAGCCCATCGCAAAATAAAAAAACAGATTACTTGTTACAGAACTAATAACATGCAGAAAATAGAAGAGAAGTTAGCAGAGTGAAGTTTGAGCTGCTACTGTTGTTACTTTTAATACTCGCGCGCTGACTTGGGTCCTGACGTCATGAGGTCACAGGTCATCATTTTATTTAGTTTATTTTTCAGTTTACACTTAAATGGGATGACTTTATTAAATAGCCGTAGTGCATATATAACATAACCATAAATAAAATGTAAAATATATAGAAATTAAATAATGTTTTTTGTAGGAAACGTTTACGAAGGAGGTAGTTCGGGCTTTCCGTTCACTGTGCGCCAACATGGCGTAAAGAAATAGTCCCCGCTGAAGCTACTTACTTTAAGGTTGTTTTGTTTAGCAGTGTGATTTTAAATTAAAATAGCAACGCAATAATTTGTTACTAATCTACAAATGTAACAGGTGTGTTTCCGTGCGGTAAACAAGACAATTGTGAAAAATAATCTGTCGGCGGAAGTGATACTCGTCAAGGCGGAGGCATAAAACTCTACGGGTGACTTACACACTTCCTTTTTACTGTGGCCGCCATACCGTAAGGAGCTTGGTTCACGGCGAGCCTAAAATAAATAAACGAAAATGGTAAGAAATACCCCTCAGATCGCTATGGAAATGTTGTTCTGTAAGTTAGAATGAATTTCGGTGCTTGTAGTTGTCAAATAAAGCCGTATTGATTGTCTGTGGTAAGCTTAAATTCGGGTTCAAAGTGGAGCGAGATGGAATGCTCTCGGCTAGCGAAGCTAACACGAGGAGCCATTTTGGACGAACAGCTTCAGTAGACCAAGTTACACGTGTGCCTGTCGCCTGAGTGCTAGATATGTTACACGCAGCTATCAGATAACACTTCGTTAAATGGGGTCTATTTTGTTTTGTTTTGTTTATGCTAATGTCATGAGACTTAATTGCATGCCTTCAACTGCGTTAACACCGTCTATAATGCTTTTAATGATTCTCTGGCTAACTCATGTTAGCACACTTGGGCTAGGCTAAGGCCAACAGCCTGACATTTCACGCTAAATCGAAAATGTCTAAAACTTTAATGAGCTGCTACTTTCGGTTAAGTGCGAGGTGCACTTGATTTGACATGTCACCAATTGCACTGAGTTGTATCAGACTTGTTTTAAAGTTAATGTAAGTAGTTTGAGGCCCCCACATGTTAAGAGATGGGTTTGCTGGTTCTTAAGACGGGTTTAAATTATTTACATTTCTCTAAAAGACCCTACATAGTTTCAAGTGTACATGTTCTATTAGTCATCCCAATGGATCTGTTTCTCAATGTTAAATTTGCTTCCTAGGCTTGTGCCCGACCCCTGATCTCGGTTTACTCCGAGAAAGGAGAATCCTCTGGCAAGAATGTTGTCATGCCTGCTGTGTTCAAGGCTCCAATTCGCCCTGATGTTGTGAATTTCGTTCACACCAACATGCGCAAGAACAGCCGCCAGCCTTATGCAGTCAGTGAACTGGCCGGTGAGTGTGTATTTGACTTGAACTTGCATGTTAAAGGATTTTTAATAAAAAGTTTCCTGACTGCATGCATTCACAAAATAAATGTATATTTGTATGTAACTTGTGTGATTGTGTTTATTTCAGGCCACCAGACCAGTGCAGAGTCCTGGGGAACAGGAAGAGCTGTGGCCCGTATCCCTCGTGTGAGGGGTGGTGGTACACACCGCTCTGGCCAGGGTGCTTTTGGAAATGTATCCTTTTCAACCTAAATTTGAGCTTTTTCTACCTTATTTGAGTATAGCTAGAAGAGCTGACACAAAAGACTTGCAATGATGGTGTAATTTGCGACTTACTCTGTGACCAGTGACAGTATGCCTGCTGTCATATGCTGGCACAGATGGCTGACGATCCTTGAGTCTGAGCAGGTATTTAGAACTTGAATACTTGTGTTACTTCAGTTGTTGTCAAAACCTCCTTGACTTGGGTCTAGATGTGTCGTGGAGGTCGTATGTTCGCCCCCACCAAAACCTGGCGTCGCTGGCACCGCAGAATCAACACAACCCAGAAGCGTTATGCCATCTGCTCTGCCGTGGCTGCAACTGCCATTCCCGCTCTTGTAATGGCCAAGGGTAAGCTCCAAAACATTTGTGAAGACAAACATGGGTTTAGACATTTTCTTTAATATACAGCTTAGCATTTATCTTGCCATGATGGTGTAATTTGCGTCTGAGCCTGTGAACAGTGACAGTGGCCTGCTGTCGTTAAGCTGTCATAAGGTATTGACGAGTATGAGTTTCTGAGCAAGCTATAGCAACACTAAAGTCAAAGCCACCTGAAGTTTTTGTGGATGGCTTTTGTTGACTATGATTATCTTGACGTTTAGGACACCGCATTGAGGAAATTCCAGAGGTCCCACTGGTTGTTGAAGACAAAGTTGAGGGCTATAAGAAGACCAAGGAGGCAGTGCTTCTGCTGAAGAAGCTCAAGGCCTGGAATGACATTAAGAAGGTAATTTAACATTTTCAAACAGAATGTCTCCTGCCAGTAATGCCTCTTTTTTTCGTTTTTTCTGGGTTTATTAAGTAGTTGTTTATATATGTGTATTTAAATATGTACATTCTTTTCTTAGGTCTACGCCTCTCAGCGCATGCGTGCCGGTAAGGGTAAGATGAGGAACCGCAGACGTATCCAACGCAGAGGGCCATGCATCATCTACAACCAAGACGGTGGTGTCACCAAAGCCTTCAGAAATATCCCAGGTGTGTTTGGTATACAAATGTAGAGTTAGGTATATGGCTGTTATGAAGTTGGCTTAAACCTACAGATGTATTGTTCAAATTCCTCTGGCCCAGGATGGTGCTAGAAACTTAAAATATATTTCTTGTAATGGTGCTAGAAACTTAAAATATATTCCTTGTAACGTTGAGCTATTCCTATGTTTTTGGATATATATTTTTTTGGTGTCAGTTGTATATGTTTTTAAATTGGTTTACTTCAAATTCCTATTTAAATCAAACAAGATCATTAAACCTGAATTGCTATTTTCCTGTATGAAGGCATCACTCTGCAGAACGTGAACAAACTGAACCTCCTGAGGCTCGCCCCTGGTGGTCACGTTGGACGCTTCTGCATCTGGACCGAGAGTGCTTTCCGCAAGCTGGATGACCTTTACGGAACATGGCGTAAACCCGCTTCCCTGAAGGCCGGATACACGTAAGTACTTGAGGAGCAATCTCCCTGTAGCACAACTGCTTATGATCAGATCTGTGATGAGCTTCCACTTCATGGTCCGTGTTTTTGAAACTCTGTGATATTAAAAGAAGTTCAGAGTTTAGCATCAAAAGATTTGTAATTTTCAACATGTTTAATTAAATGTCTTGTTTGTTTCAGCCTGCCCATGCACAAGATGACCAACACAGACTTGAGCAGGATTCTGAAGAGTGAGGAGATCCAGAAAGCACTTCGTACACCTAGGTAAGCGCCTAAAGTTCTTTATATTTATTTCAACTTATGAGCTATGATGAGTTTCCTACTTCCGGTCCGTGTTTCTGATCCCTGATTATATGGAAGTCCTGAGCAATAAAAGCCTTTAACAACATTTTTGTTTAGCAGAAGTTCATATTAAGAGTGGGTTATTTTGTCATTGCAGCAAGAACATCCACCGCAGAGTGCTGAAGAAGAATCCTCTGAAGAACTTGAGGATAATGCTCAAACTCAACCCTTACGCCAAGACAGCAAGACGTAATGCTATTCTCAAGCATAACCCTGCTGTAAGTAAATTAACAATTCAAGCTGGAAGCATAATCTTAACATTTTAAAGTTTATTGTGACTGACATCTTGTTCGTTCTCTATAGATCAAGGCTAAGATGCTGAAACCCAAGAAGAAGCCTGGAAAGAAGGGAGCACCTAAAAAACCCAAGGCATAAAGTTCTAAACTTGACGAGGTTCAGTGATCAATAAATCATTTGTTTCAAATGAACGAGTCGGACCTTTCATTGAAAAATTCAGATTCCTCAGAAAGGAATAAAGCACATGTTGAGCATTTGTTACGGTTATAAAAGGTAATGAAGCATGATGGCTTTTATATAGATTTATAAACTAAATACAAATCTATTCCTGGTGTGTTTATCTAATTTATAACTTAATATAAATTGATTCATTTATCAGTAAGACAAACTCAGCCATCAGAGGATGTACGGATGAGTCGTTTCCTGTAGACCTAGACATAGCTGTAGGATGGGTATCACAGGCAGAGTCCAATGGTTCCACACGACTGACCTGCTCTGCCGAGATGGGTTTGATAAAAGGATACTCCTTAGTCCTGAAGACCGGTCTCCAAGGTGAGTGGATTGATTGGTGGTAAGAGGAAGAATCTCAGATGAATCTAACGCAGAAGAGCACATATCTACAGCCAAGACCGCCACCAAAGCCTTCAGAGAAATCCCAGGTTTGTTGATCAAATTGTAGAATTTACTACTGTTGGTAAATGGATATCACAATATGATAACGTTTTTCATTTCGTAAATTACTTGTCTTTCATTGTCTCCTCCCCTTGATGAGCTGTGCGGCACCTGGTGTAACCTGCTTCCCTGAAGGTCGGCTAAAAGTGAGTATCGCAATCGCACGTTAAACTGTTTAAGTTATGAGCTTTCACTTCATGGTCCAAAAATGGGTTTAGACATTTTGATTGATATACAGCTTACAATTTATCTTGCCATGATGGTGTAATTTGCGTCTGAGCCTGTGAACAGTGACAGTGGCCTGCTGTCGTTAAGCTGTCATAAGGCATTGACGAGTATGAGTTTCTGAGCAAGCTAGAACAACAAAGTCAAAGCCATCCAAAGTTTTTGTGGATAGCTTTTGTTGACTGAGTATCTTGTCTTTTAGGACAACGCATTGAGGAAATCCTGAGGTCCAACTGGTGGTTCTGAAGAGTGAGGAGATCCAGAAAGCACTTCGTACACCTAGGTAAGCGCCTAAAGTTCTTTATATTTATTTCAACTTATGAGCTATGATGAGTTTCCTACTTCCGGTCCGTGTTTCTGAACCCTGATTTATATGGAAGTCCTGAGCGACACAAAGTATTGGTCCGTGGTCTAAAAATGGGTTTAGACATTTTGATTGATATACAGCTTACAATTTATCTTGCCATGATGGTGTAATTTGCGTCTGAGCCTGTGAACAGTGACAGTGGCCTGCTGTCGTTAAGCTGTCATAAGGCATTGACGAGTATGAGTTTCTGAGCAAGCGAGAGCAACACTACAGTCAAAGCCACCTGAAGTTTTTGTGGATAGCTTTTGTTGACTGATTATCTTGTCTTTTAGGACACCGCATTGAGGAAATCCCGAGGTCCAACTGGTGGTTCTGAAGAGTGAGGAGATCCAGAAAGCACTTCGTACACCTAGGTAAGCGCCTAAAGTTCTTAATATTTATTTCAACTTATGAGCTATGATGAGTTTCCTACTTCCGGTCCGTGTTTCTGAACCCTGATTATATGGAAGTCCTGAGCAACACAACGTATTTAACAGAATTGTAGTTTAGCAGAAGTTCGTACTAAGAGTTGGTTGTGTTTTCATTACAGGAACAACATCAACTGCTGAGTGCTGAAGAAGAGTCCTCTGAAGAACTTGAGGATATTGCTCAAACTGAACAATCGTGCCAGGCAGCTGTTTATTTCAGCCTGCCCATGCACACGATCATCAACACGAATCTGAGATTTGGACAAGCACTATGTACACCTAGGTAAGCATCTCAAATTATTTTCACTTATTTCAGCCTGTGAACTATGATGAGTTTCCTACTTCCGGTCCGTGTTTCTGAACCCTGATTATATGGAAGTCCTGAGCAACAAAAGGCCTCAACAAAATTGGGGTTAAGCAGAAGTTCATATTAAGACTGGGTTCTGTTTTCATCACAGGAACTGCAGAGTGCTGAAGAAGAATCCCTAAAGAACTTGAGGATAATGCTAAACCTTTACACCAGGAATCTGAAAAGTGAGGAGATCCAGAAGGCACTTCCTACACAAACGTAAGCACAGCTAACTAAGTTCTAACATATTTATAGCTTGTCAACTGTGATGAGTTTCCTACTTCCGGTCCGTGTTTCTGAACCCTGATTTATATGGAAGTCCTGAGCGACAAAAAGTATTGGTCCGTGGTCTAAAAATGGGTTTAGACATTTTGATTGATATACAGCTTACAATTTATCTTGCCATGATGGTGTAATTTGCGTCTGAGCCTGTGAACAGTGACAGTGGCCTGCTGTCGTTAAGCTGTCATAAGGCATTGACGAGTATGAGTTTCTGAGCAAGCGAGAGCAACACTACAGTCAAAGCCACCTGAAGTTTTTGTGGATAGCTTTTGTTGACTGATTATCTTGTCTTTTAGGACACCGCATTGAGGAAATCCCGAGGTCCAACTGGTGGTTCTGAAGAGTGAGGAGATCCAGAAAGCACTTTGTACACCTAGGTAAGCGCCTAAAGTTCTTTATATTTATTTCAACTTATGAGCTATGATGAGTTTCCTACTTCCGGTCCGTGTTTCTGAACCCTGATTATATGGAAGTCCTGAGCAACACAACGTATTTAACAGAATTGTAGTTTAGCAGAAGTTCGTACTAAGAGTTGGTTGTGTTTTCATTACAGGAACAACATCAACTGCAGAGTGCTGAAGAAGAATCCTCTGAAGAACTTGAGGTTATTGCTCAAACTGAACAATCGTGCCAGGCAGCTGTTTATTTCAGCCTGCTGTTTATTTCAGCCTGCCCATGCGCACGATCATCAACACGAATCTGAGATTTGGACAAGCACTATGTACACCTAGGTAAGCATCTCAAATTATTTTCACTTATTTCAGCCTGTGAACTATGATGAGTTTCCTACTTCCGGTCCGTGTTTCTGAACCCTGATTATATGGAAGTCCTGAGCAACAAAAGGCTTTAACAAAATGTCTGTTTAGCAGAAGTTCCTTTTTTAAGACTGGGTTGTGTTTTCATCACAGGAACAACGTCAACTGCCGAGTGCTGAAGAAGAGTCCTCTGAAGAACTTGAGGTTATTGCTCAAACTGAACAATCGTGCCAGGCAGATGTTTATTTCAGCCTGCCCATGCACACGATCATCAACACGAATCTGAGATTTGGACAAGCACTATGTACACCTAGGTAAGCATCTAAAATGATTTTCACTTATTTCAGCCTGTTGACTATGATGAGTTTCCTACTTCCGGTCCGTGTTTCTGAACCCTGATTATATGGAAGTCCTGAGCGACAAAAACCTTGAACAAAATGTGTAGTTAAGCAGAAGTTCATACTAAGACTGGGTTCTGTTTTCATTACAGGAAATGTATCAACTGCAGAGTGCTGAAGAAGAGTCCTCTGAAGAACTTGAGGATATTGAACAATCGTGCCTGGCAGCTGTTTATTTCAGCCTGCCCATGCACACGATCATCAACACGAATCTGAGATTTGGACAAGCACTTCGTACACCTAGGTAAGCATCTCAAATTATTTTCACTTATTTCAGCCTGTGAACTATGATGAGTTTCCTACTTCCGGTCCGTGTTTCTGAACCCTGATTATATGGAAGTCCTGAGCAACAAAAGGCTTTAACAAAAGTGTAGTTAAGCAGAAGTTCATACTAAGACTGGGTTGTGTTTTCATTACAGGAACAACGTCAACTGCTGAGTGCTGAAGAAGAGTCCTCTGAAGAACTTGAGGATAATGCTCAAACTGAACAATCGTACCAGGCAGCTGTTTATTTCAGCCTGCCCATGCACACGAATCTGAGATTTGGACAAGCACTATGTACACCTAGGTAAGCATGTCAAATTATTTTCATTTATTTCAGCCTGTGAGCTATGATGAGTTTCCTACTTCCGGTCCGTGTTTCTGAACCCTGATTATATGGAAGTCCTGAGCAACAAAAGGCCTCAACAAAATTGTAGTTAAGCAGAAGTTCATACTAAGACTGGGTTCTGTTTTCATCACAGGAACATCAACTGCAGAGTGCTGAAGAAGAGTCCCTAAAGAACTTGAGGATAATGCTAAACCTTTACACCAGGAATCTGAAAAGTGAGGAGATCCAGAAGGCACTTCCTACACAAACGTAAGCACTGCTAACTAAGTTCTAACATATATTTATAGCTTGTCAACTGTGATGAGTTTCCTACTTCCGGTCCGTGTTTCTGAACCCTGATTATATGGAAGTCCTGAGCGACAAAAAGTATTTATAACAAAAGTGTAGTTTAGCAGAAGTTCGTACTAAGATTGGTTGTGTTTTCATTACAGGAACAGCTGCAGAGTGCTGAAGAAGAATCCCTAAAGAACTTGATTATAATGCTCAAACTGAACCCTTAGACCAGGCAGCTGTTTATTTCAGCCTGCCCATACACGGGTCTGAGCTGGAATCTGAGATTTGGACAAGCACTTCGTACACCTACGTAAGCACCTTAAGTTGTTTTCATTTATTTCAGCCTGTGAACTATGATGAGTTTCCTACTTCCGGTCCGTGTTTCTGAACCCTGATTATATGGAAGTCCTGAGTAACAAAAGCCTTAAATAAAATGTCTGTTTAGCAGAAGTTCCTTTTTAAAACTGGGTTCTGTTTTCATCACAGGAACAATGTCAAGTGCTGAAGAAGAATCCTTTGAAGAACTTGATGATATTGACCAAACTGAACAATCGTGCCTGGCAGTTGTTTATTTCAGCCTGCCCATGCACACGATCATCAACACGGTTCTGAGATTTGGAGAAATTCACTTCCTACACCTACGTAAGCACCTTAAGTTATTTTCACTTATTTCAGCCTGTGAACTATGATGAGTTTCCTACTTCCGGTCCGTGTTTCTGAACCCTGATTATATGGAAGTCCTGAGCGACAAAAGCCTTTAACGACATTTTTCTTTAGCAGAAGTTCATACTAAGATTGGGTTCTGTTTTCATCACAGGAACAACCTCAACTGCAGAGTGCTGAAGGAGAATCCCTAAAGAACTGGAGGATAATGCTAAACCTTAACACCAGGAATCTAAAAAGTGAGGAGATCCAGAAGGCACTTCCTACACAAACGTAAGCACCGCTAACTAGGTTCTAAAATATATTTATAGCTTGTCAACTGTGATGAGTTTCCTACTTCCGGTCCGTGTTTCTGAACCCTGATTATATGGAAGTCCTGAGCGACAAAAAGTGTATTGCTAGCCAATGGAAGCAAACGCTTTAGCCTTAAATGTATGCAAGTTTAAAAACGTATTTGTTCTCTCCATAGATCAAAACCAAGATACTGAAGCCCAAGAAGATTCCTGGAAAGCACAGAAGAACTGCCAAACCAGTCATATACAAAATGAATGAATAAATATTTGATTTCAAATGAACGAGTCAGACATGTCATTTAAAATGTTGATTCACAAGACTATTTATTTCACAAAAGCTAACAAAGACTATAATCTGTTGGCGCTGTAAGGACACAAGGCAGAGGTAAATCAAGCACACAGGTTGAGCAGCATTTGTCATGATTAAATAATTTGATCATTAGAAAAAGATGGCTTTCAGGCAGGCCCGCAATGTAGCCTTATTTGAATACATATTAATTTCACTTGGCATGTAGGTTGTACACTAAATATACAACTATTAATGGCACAACTTTTAACCCATTTAGTACTTTGTATAAACTGATACATTTTACTCATGATAAAAATCCATTCATCAGAGGATCTTGGGATATGCTGAAGACGCATCAGGCCTCACATTGCTGTACTGTGGGTGGGTGTCAAAGGCTGGTTGAGTCCAATGGTACTGCACAGCCAGCCTGCAAAGTCCACCTGCTCTGCCTCAGACTGCTTGATAAAAGAATGCACCTAAGGATGAAAGTGTTAGATTGCTATAGAGAAATATTTAGGGAATAATAAAACTGGTAAAGACTATTACCGTTAACTGCTTAAGGTCCGCTCTCTCTGCAGGATTCTTCACCAAACTGTAAAAGAGACTCATCTTAGAGTGTAATGTAGTTTAACACCACTGGATGGCAGAAAGTCTGGGCAGATGTTTATATCGGATTGGTGTATGATGCCAGTAAATATTTCCCAACATACCATTTGTTCACGAAGTCTTGAAATTCAGAGCTGAATATCCCGGGCAGCTTGGGTGGAGGCTGAAATGTTAAAAGGTCCGGTCAGCACTGCATATTTAATGCTCAAATGGTAAGTAGATGGCAATTGTATTAATACAGCAGTTGACAGATGTCCGTGTGGGGATGCGATCACATGATAAGATAAGATGGTACTTTATTGATCCCAATTTGGGAAATTGTTTTTGTTGCAGCAGCATAAAAGACAAGGCATTTTACAATAAAAATAGAAATAAACAAGAATAGAAATAAAATAGAAATGAGCCCACTCACCTCATTTACTATGTAATCAAGAAGCTCAAATATAGCCATCGGTGGTCTGTCGGAACTGTATGCTGGTGGTAAAAACAAAAGATGTCAGTTTCTTTCATGCTTCACTGTCCTCATCACTCAAGGTCACTATTTCATCACGACGCTGTCAGTTTTATTGTGGTAAACATGCTGTAATTTAAAACCTTTTTAAAACCCCAGCATAATGTCAGACTTACTGCTGCCTGGCCGCCCGGGGGGCTGTGGCTTTGGGGAGGACTCGCCGCAGGCTGCCTCTCCTTCCACTGGGAAGCCAAAAATCTGTTCAAGCTCCCTAGCATCAGGTGGAGGGATAGGGAAGCGTCCAATGGCCATTTCAACCAGGGACAGACCCATACTCCAGATGTCCGACTGAACTGAGTAATGGGTGCCTTGTAAACGCTCCGGCTGCACAGCACAAATGCAAAAATCAGTTAGTGATTTGCATAATAAAGATTAACATGCAACACCGCTGAAATTCATTACATACAGTGACATGTATGTAATGACAAATCTAAGTGTTTTTTTTTTTATTGTCCCATGTTCCAGTGCTGTAAGCATAGCCTACCTTAACATAGCTGATGCTTAAAGGATATTTTCATACTTGATATAAATGTATAGACAGTCCCAGTTAATTTGTGAGTGCCTTGTTGCCTTAGAGATAAATCTGTGACACTCTGGAAAAGGAATTGTAAATGCTAATGTGTGAATGAGAGCAGCAGGAAAGGAGGAGTGTGTCCTTTATAACTCACAGACATGTAAGAGCGGGTGCCCACAAAGGAGTTGGCCATGGAGTCGATGAGCTGTCCGCTCACTCCAAAGTCGCACAGCTTGATCTCACCGCGGGAATTCACAAGGATGTTAGAAGGCTTGACATCTGAAAGAGAGACAGCAAAATATTTGGGCAAACATGGTGGGCAAGTGTTCAAGAGGGAACAGACAGTTCCACAGAGGAACTGCTGCAAAGCCTCAGTGCATGCTGTGTACCGTGTGCTTGTTATAACATTTCCTTTCATTATTTATATGTACAACACAGATCTACTCTCTGCATTCAAAACAGGGAATTACTGTGAGGTCGAGAACAATGCTCCGCATCATGTGAGCTTATTAACAGCACACATAAGCTTAGTATTCATTCATAAATGTATAGCATCTTTTAGTAAATGAAATAGTAATTTACCTCTGTGCATGATCTTGTGTTTCTCCCTCAGGTAGGCAAGCCCCTTAATGACCTGGAAAGACACATATTGCATATCAGTGCAGTAAGAGATTTACATTATTTAGTCGTGCAATAGACATAATGTACTAGCACATTTGCATCAAAAAGAGAACAAATGTAGCTCTAGTGTGACTCCCAGAGCATGAAACTGGAAGGAGGTGTTGGAGCTACCCACAGCGATGCTGACTTTGCCGAGGATTTGCTCCGGGATCTTGCCTGCCTTCTTCAGCGACTGGTCCAGGGATCCACCGTCCTACAGCCAGCAGAGGATTAAAATATAAACAGTATTTACTGAAAGAACTCTTTGAAATTCAAATATCCTTTATGCATTGCAACCCAATTAAACAAAATCCTTCAATACTAATGAGGTTGTACATGCAGGGAAACGCATGCCAGACACTCACAGCACAGTCTGTAAAGCAGCACTCAAAGTGAACGCTGTTTAAACACACTGTCAGCCAGAAGTTATTAAAGATAAGTACCATATGCTCCATGCAGATGCTGATTTCTCCGTCGCTGTAGAAAGCTCCGTAGAATCCCACAATGTAGGGGGAGTTACACTCGTGAAGCACCTGCAGCTCTCTTATGATCTGGTTCCTGATGGCTGGCTTGATCTCCAGGTGGATCAGCTGCAACACAGCAGGAAGCAGGTTTCATGTATGCTCTTACATCACAAAGAACAAGAAAAAAAGCCAGATTCAATCCTCCTTTTGGACTTCTGTGTGCACATGTACACAAACATTATAAAATACATGGCATGATCATAAGGAATATGTTGAAATTTGAACACAGCGTTATGGTTGGCACTCTTTATTGTATGTAAAAAAGAACTGATTCTAATGATTCGGCCCTTTTAAGAAAGATCTTTATATTATTATTTAATTATTATTATTTATTAATATTATACTATATTTATTGGTGCAATAGTATGTGTTTTAATGTTGCAGCTTGTGAAAGAAGGAGCTTCATTTGTAATACTAAATACTGCAGCGTAGCTTGTGAATTTCCATTTTATCTTTCAAGTTTATCCAAGTTTCATCCTAACCTCACATAGCAAATAATAACTTATTTGTTGATACTTAATTCAACTATTAATCCCAATCTGAATCTTCTTAACTAAAGCATTCAAATAAATAGAACAAAATGTGTCTCAATTGTAGTGAAGTACTATAATGTATATATCAGGAAATGCAAATAATAAGTGAAGAACAGGTACTTAAACATTGTGCTTACAGTATGTACAGTACTTGAATAAATGCACTTTTTCATTGTCCACCAGTCTTTTTGCATATATGATACAGTACTCTTGGATGTTGTGACAGTCAGTCTGTTAAACAAATACTGGAAAATGGGAAACAAATTGAACTGCACACGTTAAAAACATTGGTGGTGGCTGTAAAAACCAATACATGTCTGCTATACTGAAGAAAATACCCATGTACGTTATGAATGTAACTCCAATGTACACATCTCCTCTAGTTACAGTGCTTTTAGTATCTCCACCAAAGCCCTTCTCTATCAGCATCTTTCAGCTTACCTTCCTCGCCATGATCAGACCTGAGGGTCGGTGGGAGACCTTGAAGACGACGCCCCCGTTGCCAGCACCGAGCTCACAGATCTTCTCAAAGTCATCGTCCTTCAGCTCGCCCACCTTCTGCTTCTGTGTCAGAAAAGCCTCCAGACGTTTTCGCTGCTGCTCGTCCAACTCGAGCTCCTCTAGTTTCTTCTGCAGGGCCTCCAAGTTTGTTCTTAGAGGGCAGATAGAGAAAGACAGCGAGAAAGAGGAGTTATATATTATTAATGTATTCCTACTCGGATAAAAAGGCTATTGAATTCATTCTGAGGGATCTTTTTGCAGATGTTCATTTCATCTGTATTTAATATGATATTTAAACCTTGGAGGAAAGACAGAGCACGGAGTGTGACTGCCGCTCGTTCCTCTGGGATCAACATCAACCAACCAAAGAGCCAGAAGAAAGACAGAAAGTGTTGCAGGGTGTGTTTCAGAGTGAGGAAGCTCTGAGTTTGTCAGCGCTGATGCCGCTCTCCTTGTCGCTGTTGTCATGGCGATGCATTTTCTTGAGAAATATCTTATGGAGCGAGATCTTACGGCATGCTGCTCTTTGACCTCTTCTTCCCGCCCACTGCGCTGTATAATGTTTGTTAAAAATCCATTTGGGCTTCTATCAGTAAGTGTAAAATAAGGACAAACAATAAGTCATGTTATTTCAAAAAAGTATAGACGTCCAATCAGCATTTTGGGTATATGTTAAGATTCACTAATAAGGACATTAAATATGCCTGCAATGCTCCTACATCTTTATCTCTCAACAAAAATATGTAACTTTACTTAAAGTACTGGTCTTTTATTTTTGCATGCATATCTGAGGACAATAATATCAGTGGGCTCAGTGTTAATTATGCATTTCCACAAGCAGCTAGAGCATGGTAGTGCGCTCTTCTCTCGGCTGCTCTCCACCACACAGCAGTGAGAGGCTTAAGTGGTTTTATTTTTGACAGTAGGCCTGCATATCCATGGAGACGAGGTGCTGAGTTTGAGGTGGTTGTGGGAAGCGTGGGTGTTTTGTCGACAAGAGCTGGAGGTGGAGGAGGCTGAAACACACTCCACACAATACTGTGAGGGACGTCAGTAGCTCCACACTGCAGCCCCCCCCCCCCCCCACTACGGGAGAGATTGAGCACGATGCTGGCCTTTTATGCTCCATCCACACAATGTCCAA